TTCTATTTTTAAATAAAATATATTTTTCAAAAGTAATTACAATAATTTTCATATCCAATTTTGTAGATCCATCTTACTGTCGTTTTCCTCCGTTGTTTAAAATTGCCAAATAAGAGTATGCGCCCTTCATTGTCTGAAATGTTAAATTATTTGGTTAAATAAATACTCGGTTATTTTATAAAATCTCAATATATAGTTAACAAGAAAAATAAAATGACAATAGACTATAGTCCATTTAAAATAATGGTAAAAGGTCGAGAAACGCCGCACTTGCCGAGACCACTTGTCCCCTACGTATTTTGGGGCGCTGATTACGAAAATGAGGGTAAAAACTGGCAGCAATGGTTGGAACACCCCTAAAATTGCCAAAAACACCCCTACATAGTAGTGTTTTTCGACTGTACTTGTTTTGCAAACTAAGCCATCTTATATGCTTTTTGGGGCGCTGATTACGAAAATCAGGGTTAAAACTTGCAGCAATGGTTGAATCACCACTAAAATCCACTCGTTGGGAGGGATATTTCTGGCATGTGGGGGGTGTCACACAAATTTTCCAATCTCGACACCCCGATTTTCGAAATCAACGACCCAAAAAACATATGAGATGAGTTAGTTTGCAAAACAACAAATACAGTCGAAAAACACCCCTAATTAGAGGTGTTTTTTGCAATTTTAGGGGTGGTTCAACCATTGCTGCAAGTTTTAGCCCCGATTTTCGTAATCAGCGCCCCAAAAAACATATGCAATTGGGGTTTTCTCATTATCACTATCTACCTACTTATTGCACAAATTAAAGAAAAACAGAACTTACTCGTTGTTATTATTTGGTCACACTAGCATATTAAGTTTCTCCTTAAGAATCCATGCCACTCTCCGGCTTACAGTGGCATTAAAATAGACCAACTCTAGCTTTGAGCTAGCAACACACTTCTTGTAAATGAGATGGCACACTTCTTATGAGTTTTCGGGGACCGGTCGATTTTTTTTAAATTTTAATATGTTATAGTACTTGCAAAAATAAGCATTTTTCATCATTGCGCCAAATCTCTAAGTGTATAGGGTGTCCCAGAAAAACGTACTGAAAGTTCGTACGCGAGGCGTTAAAAGTATCCAGTAATCGTCGTCCTGAAAGAATGTTGATGTGATTTTTTCTTTTAATTTGACCAACGAACAATGAATGTGATATGTTTACATGTCTGTGCAATACAGGGTGTTTTAATTTACATGTCCCTTTCGAAATCGTAGTAAAACAAAAATAGATTTAGGTATGCCGGCCCTTGTTTCGGCATTATATAGCGAATTAGAAAGTGAAAATGTTTTTTTTTAACTTTCTCGAGGCCAATTTATTCTTTTGAATTTATCTGAAAACTCTGCTTGTTATAAGTTACAATAAAAAACAATGAAAATGCAAGGAAATAGAAGTATTAAATACTTTGGAATATATTAACCTAGGTATAAATGGCCAAATACCACATTAATTTTTTTTAATTTACTTGATGTATCCAACATTCAGAATTAAAAAGCACAAAATCGTAAAAAAACAATTATTTATTAAATGGAAGAAACAAGAACTGATTTATTATCTTACTTTGTGAGTTAATTAGCGTAGTAACATTTTTTGTCAAGGGGTAAAACTATTATTGGGTAGTGACAATTCTCTTGGAATACTAATCTCTATTAGCGGCTTCTTGGATACATCTAAGTAAGACGTTTGTTGGGTACTTGACGTCGTTTTCGTGTCGAGCATAGCCTAGATACCACACTACGCTGGAAATATGTGCGCACATACCCAGTGTTCTAGCCCCAACTTTACAAGTACAATATGTTCCTTGTATTGGGTCGTCCCCATCACGCACAGGAGGCAGCCAGTATGAAATAAAAAGAAAATGCTTTGTGACTTGAGTAAATCGGGAGAATAGCTTTGCTCTAATGAGCCCAGGCTCAAATTCCTGAACTTGAAACAGAAATTCGTTAGTGGCTTCCCTTTCAATTGTATCCTGGACGTAAGCTGGAGACAGCTTTACCTGATATGTTCCAAATGTTTTTGTTCTAAGATATTCTAACGTTAGAATAGGGAACTGGATGTGATTTTTATTTATATCAACCCATGCACCTCCACCACGCCTAAGTTGCAGATTTTCCATTAGAATCCTATCATGGAGGGGATTATTAGGATTTTGGACTAGCTCTAGCATTCGCTGTGCCAGCTCGTCACTCTCATCCTGCATATGAATTGGTTCTCGGTATGCGTTAATAAGAGCGCAACCAATCTTTAAATATTCTGATAACTTGTAACAATTTTGCATAGGTATCGCATCTCGAAAGAACTTGTACAATGATTTTAAATGCCCATTCCTCGATTCTACAATCCAGCGCGTTTTGGTAATCTTACGAGCATAGTTCGCTTCCTCGGTGGTAAACTGTTGACGATTTCTTGGCAAAAACGGTGGTATTTCACAATTATTCAGGTTTAGTGTTTCAAGAAATTCTACAACATCTCTATATCCCCTATCAACGACAAATATATCTCCGTCCTGTATCCATTGTCTTATGTTTTGAATATCCTCTTCCATTTCTTTTCTCAATATTGCTGCATCATTGTTCCTGCTGTCGGAAAAGTAAGGACCGTGAACATCGACTATAAATACATCAGGAGCTAATATTAGTCCGGCTTTAAATAATGTATACCGCTTATGGGATGAAAAGGTTTGTCTTTGAGTTCTAAAATTACAACCTTTTGGGGCTTTCAAGTAAGTACAATCCGGAAAGAGAATGGCTTGGGGATTTTGGGGCTGTGGATTGTACAATATATTTGAAAAGCTTGTAACATGGCGCTCAATAAACTGTCGTCTATCTCTCAATTCTTGACAATGAAATCCTAGATTATTTGGTACAAAGTTTAGGATTAAAGTAGTTCTGACAATGGTAATTGCTAAACTCACAGCCTGGCGGGATGTGTAACTCATAATTACTTTAATAAATTCATCCGATAAGCCCTGCCTTAATTTCATTAAGAATGCAATCATGTCTTTTTTAGTATTGAATAAATCCGCAAATTGCCGCTTGCTTATAGAGGTCAACTTTTTAAATTCCTCATCCCCAAAATTTTCTTCAGTATCAAAACTACTTGAATTGTAGTCTTTTAATGCCAGAAACCATTCATGTATTTCCCTGCCCGTCATTAGCACATTCATGGGCAATGATATATTATTATTCATGTGCTGAATTTCCACATTTCCCTTAGAATTTAAATGATTAACACAACATGGTGTATGGCTGGGGATGAAAATGTTATTTTTTGCAAAAAAGTCGACACGTGCATCTAACGAAAACCTTGTCCGACTGTCATTATTACATACAAAGCAACCTCTATTGCTCGCTAAAACATCCATTGGTATTGCCAATGCATTATCAGACAATTCTATACACCTTTCTACACGCTGGAAACAGTTTATACATATTCTGGTATTTTCAATAATTTCTAGATGTGGCAAAATAATAGAGATTTCTCTTTGTCGTGGTTCTAAAATTGCTCGGAATCTTTGACCGTTGACGTTGCAAATGTAGCACCTAACCATGATCCTATATAAAATTCAAATAAACTAATATAAGTAACCCCATATTTGCTTTCGAATTACATACTTACAAAGTTAATTAACATAAACTGGCAACACAAAATATATAAAATTCAATATTAATCACAAAAACGTATTCAAATAAAATGCACGTCAGTTTTTAAAAATGTCAAAATCGGCGCATTCACAGCCAACTTAGCGATTAAATCGTCAGCAAGCATATATGCAGTTTAAAGCTTCTTTTTCTCTGATTAGGTGTTCTTTATTTGTCGTGATGCTGAGTATTGTTGTAAACAATGACTTCATAGCCTATACTTGAGAAAAATAAACTTGGAACGAAATATAGATTTGTATACTTTATAATATATGGGTATATTTTTATGAACCTATCCTATATCGAACGTCCCAATAAGGCTCATGACTAGGTTTTTTATTGTAACTTATAACAAGCAGAGTTTTCAGATAAATTCAAAAGCATAAATTGGCCTCGAGAAAGTTAAAAAAAAACATTTTCACTTTCTAATTCGCTATATAATGCCGAAACAAGGGCCGGCATACCTAAATATGTTTTTGTTTTACTACGATTTCGAAAGGGACATGTAAATTAAAATACCCTGTATTGCACAGACATGTAATCATATCACATTCATTGTTCGTTGGTCAAATTAAAAGAAAAAATCACAGCAACATTCTTTCAGGACGACGATAACTGGATACTTTTAACGCCTCGCGTACGAACTTTCGGTGCGTTTTTCTGGGACACCCTGTACACTTAGAGATTTGGCGCAATGATGAAAAATGCTTATTTTTGCAAGTATTATAACATATTAAAATTTAAAAAAAATCGACCGGTCCCGGAAAACTCATAAGAAGTGTGCCATCTCATTTGAATTCTAATTCACTTTCAGGATCAGAATTTTAAAATGGTAATAAATCAGCGCACCAAAATACGTAGGGGACAAGTGGTCTCGTCAAGTGCAGCGTTTCTCGACCTTTTACCATTATTTTAAATGGACTATTACTGTTATTAGGTTTTTCAAGGAACTGTCAAACAATAGCTATCAGTGAAAAAGGCCTTTATATCTAAGGGAGTTGCAATATGGGTTTTTATCTTGGACGGTTTTTTTTATTCGAAATAGTAGTTGCCAAGACAGCCAATTTATGAAAAATGTATAAGCGGTTTACTTTTTATAAATAATATTTTTATATTCCACAAAATTATCAAATTTAATCCATTATTCATGATTTCATGTGTTGTATACAATACATCTTAGATTTACCAGCTCTTACCACCGACAGTTATTTTGTTTGCAATGCCTAATAAGATTTTTCACTAAAGCCATCTATACTTTACATATGGAACTATGAAAAATTAAAAATGTCAAAATGTTAAATGATCAGTTGTAAAGTTTTGGAGCATCACAGTTATAAGTTGTTCAGGCTACTTATTAGACATACATTTATTTTATTTAAAGTAACAAAGACATTGTCTATCCTAAACCAATTTAATGTGGAAAGTGTATTGAACATTAAAATACAATTTAAGCGTTCTTTCGTCATTTTCCCAGGTTCGGGATATTGGACGATAATTATGTTAAAAATTATATAAAAACAATAATAATAGGTACTTACAGTGACTGCTGCACTATTAGTTAAAACGAAGAATGGTCCTACAGAAAGTGTTAAAGGCTTTTGCGCTCTCATCAGGATTACTAATAAATGATGTTTAATTCTTTGTGGAAGATCATACCAGTCACTGTCGTATACTGCTTGAGATACTCCCATGCTCTTAAACAAGTTTCGAATATATTTTTGACAAATTTACAATACCCTTTTTATTTTTGACCACATAATTATAAATATAATACACTTTTATTAGTACAATAATTATTTATACTAAGGATAATGTTATATGTAGATAACCTGGTTGCCTATTTATGACCTAACGGTTGCGCATAGACTGCCGAAGTATTTACTTTTATTATACATGTTTTAAATATACAGTGCTTTTCAGATAAAAGTATCCACCTTAAGTAACTTTTGAAGGACTGATTATTACAAAAAACAAAAAAATACGTAAATTAATATTCGAAGGTGAAGATATCGTGCCATATTTAAGTTTGCTGAAAAAGTCACCCTTTCACCCCTACTATCATCCCTTCAATTTTTTTAAATGGCTTCCCCCATTTTTTTATCTATTTTTGGATTGTTCTCGTTTAACTGATTTCAAAAATGTATATAACATGGGGTTTAAAATAATAAGTTTATGATTGAATAGAGTTGAATAAAGAATAAAACCCCCTTTGAAATGATCTATCACTCACCACCCCATGCCATTTAAATTTTTCGAAAGGGTTGCTCCCCTTCAGTAAGGGATGAAATTAAGGGTAAACTAATCATACAAAAATGTACATTGTAGAAAACAAAAATCGACCTGTCTCGGCGATTTTCCTAACAAGAGTCCAGTAACGAGTTAGTTAGGGGGGGGGGGTAAGACTTATGATGCTCACTGTATATTTATTTTGTTTTTGCCAACTTCTCTGCTCGATGTTTTGGTGGTTGTAGTTTGTGCTTTTTTCTTTGATTTATTTAATTTTTTTTCTTCCGTTACCTTGTTAGGACTTTTTTCCTTAATATTAGTATTTTCCGGGAGATTTTCCTGTGTTGTTCCTGATTAGTGTTGCGCAAGTCACTTGCTTTACAGGAATTATTGTTAACAAACAATTTATTACCCTTGATGTATTAACGCTACATTTAAATGTTCTGTTAATATTTTTTTGTCTTCCCTTTCTTAATAATTACTTAGTTTATTTAGAAACGTATTTCTTAACCCTTTAAAAATTGCATATACCCTCAGCTCTTAGTTTACATTTACCAGTTTATATGGCTAGCCGTGTTGTAACGTTGACTGGGCTATATAAACTGACAACGCTGATAATATTGGTTTCCTGCTAACTCTCTGTAGGTTTCACATTCACTTGTATAAAGTGTATTGGAAAGCGTTCGATATAACCGATACTGTATATTAGACGACTACATACTTTTTCTTTGTACGTCTATAATATTAAAATCTATCAGTAAAATAATTTATGATAATTGGATTGATCATAAATATTTAAACTATTTTTTTAATTAATATACTTACGTAAATTTGAATTTGATTTGCATGCCATGTTAATACAAATATTTGAAGCATCATACAAAAAAGCAGAGTTATTCTAAATGGCAGCATGGTGTCTAATTTAAACTGTAAAAAATAAATAACTATGCAAATTCAAACATATTATTATTTAAAGTGTTTATTTTATCTTACCACTAATATTTCATATAAGCTCGAAGTAATTTGAATTGGATTTATTGTAAATTCTAAGAATAATAAATATTTCATATTATCATCTAATTCTTTAACGAATCTACAACAAAATACAGATTATTGATAAAGCATATATTAAAATCAAACCAGTGTAATTATATTTAAGAATAAGGAACAGGAGTATCCTACAGAAGTATCCTACAATGTGGTTGTCATAATCTAAGAAACAGCTAACATCAAATACAAGAAAAAAACATATTTACAACATAAAATTGACAGCTATGAAGATTATAGCTGAAATCTGGCAATATGTTATGAAAAAAATACAATTAAGCGAATGACGTAGGTATATACCTATACAGAAATTTGCAGTTATTCTATAAATAAAAGAATCTTGTTAATTATTTCGTAAATTGATTAATTGTGGAGATAAACGTGGAACTTCGTCGAATTTTATATTTTAAGGCAAGTGAGTTTTTAAAGTTTTTAAATCAGAATATGAATCAAACGATACCTCTTTTGAAAAATCTTTTAATTGTCTATAGAAACACAATAATATGGTAATTGATTTTTGTATATTGTCAAAGATAAGACCAAGGTTGCAAAATTTAGTTTTATGTTTGAGCGTTCTGGAAGTTTTAGTTCCATTTTAATCCTTTTTCTTGTAAAAAGAATAATTTCTGTGTATGGTCTCTGCATCACTGTTTTATAATTTTGAAAGCTACCTGCATTATTTCGAAAAGAGTGTTTTTAAAATTCTCTGTTTGTAAAATGAGCAGATTATTTTCATTTACTATTGTATGGAGATTGTCAATATTGAGACATTGGTAAGGGTGCTGAGGACCATATTCCACTGTAGAGGCAACAGTATCCTTCGCAACCCACCCATACAGCAAATATTATTTCAGAAATGTTTCAAAAATATTTCCAACGTTTCAAATATATAATATTTTAAGCACAAGTTTCTGAAATATTTTAATTAAATATTTCACTGAAAATGTTTCTGAAACAAGTTACACAAAACGTTACTAAACAAGTTATGTTGTAAAAGGCCAACACTTAATAAAGAATTTCTTATCTGTAAGAAGATCAAGATGGGATATGTAGTTATTTTATTTCATCCTATGTCCACCCAGAGACAACCCTATATTCTAAATAATTATAAATTTGAATGTCGGTTTTTGCCATTTCCTTTTTTGTTATTTTGGCAGAATATGTCTCTAGAAATTGAGACGAGTATTACAATGCTTGTTTAGGTTAGGTTTATTAACTTTATCTCTTCTGTAAAACAAGTGACGCCATTTCTTTTATCAAAAAATAAAAATGTGTCATTAAAAATAGTTTTACAATGTGTAGAAAAAAATAATAAAACAGAATCGACACCCACCAAAGTGCTTTTGGAGCAAAAAAACAGGACCTGCTTCAGGTAACTCAAACAAATAATATGGAAACAATGGAAGTGGGAGAAAATCTCCTAGCCCAACAATATCAGACCTTATTTCATGAAAATCAAGCTAGAAGTCAAAATGAACAGGCATTGTACAATGCTTGGATACAGAAAAAAGCTGAAAAACAGCAACTAGAAAGTGCATTGCAACAAATGCAAAACATGCAAAAACAAATTAATATTTTAAACAAAGAAAAAACTAAAATTCCAGCGAATTATGAAACTGATGAAGAAGAACTGGCAAAAGAAATCGGCGATTAAATTAACAAAGAAGTAGAATGGATAACAGCGGAAAGCAGAAACAATAGAAGAAAAAAAAATATAAAAAGCCATCTTCTCTCCAGAAACCTCTCTTGGCTAACCTGGAGGTAGCAAAAATCAACAACAAGAGAAAGAAACAGTTGAAAAAAGTGAAATTTCCCCCGTTAATAGCAAGCAACATCAATAAGTATGAATGATTGCGCCATACACTGGCAGAAAATAATATTTCCTTTCAAGCCACAGCTCTAAGCAATAACCAGTTTAAAATTGATACTAAACAAGAAGACTTCAAAAATGTCATATCAACCTTGAATGCCAAAGAAATAAATTGGCATTCCTATGAAATTAAACAGAACAGAGACATTAAATTAATGGTTAGAGGTCTACCATCTACATCTAAACCAGAAGATATTGTTGAAGACTTGCAAAGTCAAGGATTAAAATGTAAAGAAGCTGTCAATATAATAAAGAAGAAAATAGAATTAACCGAGGATAACACTCTTAAACCATTGCTCCTATTTATGCTATCATTCAAAAATATTGAAGATATTAAGAAAATCAACGAAATCAAAGCAATACATAATCTAAGAGTTAGAATAGAAACCATCAGAAAGTCAAAACTAGTTCCGCAATTCAAAAACTGCCAACTATTTGGACATGCACACAACTTTTGAAAAAGAGAATCAAGATGCGTAAAGTGCGTAGGAAAACATCATACGAAGGATTCTGTAAAAAGTCCAGAACAACAACCGAAGTGTATAAACTGCCTAATAGAACATCCTGCTAACTACAAAGGATGTGAGGTAGCTAAAACCTTTCAGAAGGGTTCTTTTTGAATAGAACAGAAGGAAAACACCACTAAACCTAAAATAATAACGAGGCAGAAGAGATCCATAAACGCTTTTTCTAATGTCTGAAATGAAATAAAATATTCTCAGGTAACAAACTCATAGCAGCAACCAATTCAAAGGTCACAATCAGCCATGAATCCCTCGCCACAAATTGCACAGCATACTGTACAGTCAATCAACTTAGCAGAAAGTACTACTCATGAATTATTATTATTATCCTTAAACTTATCCTAAAACTAGCGATCCGTTTTATTTAAATCGATTTAAAAATTTAAGAAAAGAAGTCAAAAGACTTACTAGGGTTGCATATGATATCTACATCTCTAAAGTTGAAAACTCCGTCTCTAGTGAGCCTAAAGAATTTTGGAAATATATTCAAACTAAAAAAGGTAAATCGAGAATTCCGGGAATTCTGTTCAACGAAGGAGTTTCTTACGACACTCCTCAAAACATAGTAGATGGATTTGCTGAGTACTTTAGTAGTGTGTTTGCATCAGTATCTGATACGATCCTAACAGAGGACTTAAATAATCTTCCAAGTATAAATATCGAAAGTTTTAGTGACGAAGATATTATTTTTGCAATCAACAAACTAGCCGCTAAAATCACCTCCGGTGAGGATGGTATACCCAGTTTTTTAATTAAAGATTGTAGAAATATTTTTATACAACCCCTTAAGTTTATTTTTAATATGTCATTAAAAACTTCTATATTTCCAGATAAATTTAAAATCGCACGTGTATGTCCAATTCTCAAGTCAGGAGATCCATCTCTATTTAATAATTATCGCCCTATTTCAGTTTTAAATAATTTTGCTAAGATTTTCGAAATTTGTATTTATAATAAAATTTACCCTCTAACTAAATGTTTAATATCGGTACATCAGCATGGTTTTATGGAAAATCGTTCTACTGTTTCTAATTTATCATCTTTTTCTCAGTTTTTACATGAGACTTTAGATAATTGTGGTCAAGTAGATGTAGTTTTAACAGATTTCGAAAAAGCTTTTGATAAAATCGACCCAAAAGTAATCGTTAACAAGTTAGATCAATTTGGATTTTCATCAGCAATGAAAACATTCTTCCACTCATACTTATCTTGTCGACAACAATTTGTTTCTTATAATGGGTTTTCATCAAATTTATTTTATGCTACCTCAGGGGTTCCTCAAGGTTCCAATATGGGTCCTCTACTTTTCTTGTATTTCATCAATGATGTCACTGATCATATCGCTTGTTCCAAATTGTTATTTGCAGATGATTTAAAAGTATTTCGTGAAATTTCTGATATACATGATTGTTTATTCCTTCAAGAACAATTAAATAATTTATATGATTGGTGTAAGCGCAATAAATTGTTTCTGAACGTACGAAAATGCAAAGCTATAAGTTTTAGCAGAAAAGTCAACACAACAAATTTTAATTATACCAATTATAATGAAGAACTAGTCAGGTGTGATCAAACTAAAGATCTAGGTGTTATATTTGATTCGGAGCTAACTTTTAGTGTACATGTTAATACTATTACTAAATCTGCAAACAAAATGTTAAGATTTTTATTTCGCAATTGTCAAAAGTTTAGAACTGAAGCTGCCTTAAAGTCACTGTACTTTTCATTAGTTCGTTCCAAGTTGGAATATGCTTCTTTGATTTGGTATCCGAACACAGAGTTGCAGAAGAACAGCATTGAAAGGGTGCAACGCAAATTTTTAAAGTTTTTAAATTACAAGGTTAGGGGTATCTATCCCCCCCACGGATTTGATGAAAATGTGTTGCGTAATGGATATAATATACAATCCCTTGAAAATAGAAGAAAATTAATGTCAATTTCTACAATTTATAAAATAATTCATAATATAATTGATTGTTCTATTCTACTAGAAGGACTTTACTTTTTAGTAACACGACAAAATGCACGGACATTCAACACGTTTTCTCTTCCTATTCCCAGGACTAACCTGCTAATGAAATCACCAATATATATTATGTGCCAAAATGTTAATATTTTATGTTTGAATTGTGATATATTTTTTGAAAAACTTGCACATGTTTTGCGCATAGTCACCCTCAATTTTTAATTTTAATTTTTGCTTTAAGCTTTATATTCATTTTGTTATTATTATTTATTACCATCTTAGTACTTATTTCTGAATTGTAATATTTACGGTAACCATCCAAACCTGAACCAGAAGTAGTAACTTGGGTTAACAAACTTGAACCACCATCACAAACCTGAACCAGTATATTGGTTCAAGTTTGTTTTGCTGTGTTAAATTATTTAATACCCACTCTATGCTTAAAGTGAAACTTGATTGTAATAGTTCCATAATAAAGGAATCTGTAAATTACGTTTTCAAATCTTCGCGCCCAACACATTGCCGGATATTCCCCCTTTTTTACTGGTTCAGGAATATACGAAACTCCAATATGTAGTTCAACAATTTGACGTTTGCGGCGCTTAGGTAGGTATTTGCGGTATATAATTATATATACGTATTGAAAGTAATTCCGTATCATCTTGAGCCAGTGAATGTGGCAACAT